TGTAACATGTAGAACAATAATAATCCAAGGAGTTTTGATCAGTTTTATTTTTTTACTAGTTATTTTTATTAAAAAAAAAAGCACAAGTATGCCATCATAGGTAACTACTGCTCCTATGATGGCATAGGGGAGGATGGGGATGGTTAGCATCAAGTAAACTTGAAGATTTCATTTGATCTTAGAGTCTTCCGTTAGAAAATCCAGAAATTACGCGTAGTCATCTTAATTAATCCTTTTGTGGAACACAGCAGCAGTGTAGAATTTCGCGCATGCGCATAGGAGATATTGCGTTTTATGTGTTTTTTGAACCAAAAATTTTTTGTTTGTGAAGTAAAAATTCCTTTTTACTTCCCAAACAAATATGTTGTTTTTATGATAAAAAAAAGGTTCTCTCCACTCGCATGAAAATTTCTTTTCTGCACAGTTAATAATAAAATTACAATCTTAAATATTTAAAGAGATTAAAAATGCAACAGCACATCCCCAAATCGATTTTTGTTGATAATAAAAGCAATATTTGTGCATAAAGGACGTATTTTTATTAAAACTAATGTAAAGTCAATATAGAGATATTGGTCTAATCACTTGTTTGCCAATATTTAATGAAAATATGACCTGTATGCCATCATAGGCGCTATGCCATCATAAGCGCCTTTTCCCTACATAATTTCATCGTCATCATCGTCGTCAAACACGAAATATAATACCATGGTCATCGTCATCGTCAAACACGATACATAATATCATCGTCATTGTCAAACACGATGAATAATATCATCGTCATTGTCAAACACGATGAATAATATCATCGTCAAACACGATACATAATATCATTGTCATCGTCAAACACGATAATATCATCTGTTTATTGATCTGCAAAATTTTAAATAATTGGTATTTAAAGCATTCTATTTTATTTAAAAATAGCTTTTTATTTATTTCTTAATTCACTGATAATAAACCAGCTTTAGATTATAAATCTTTTATTGCAAAAGATTGAAACGCTTTGCAAGTCGGAAAATTAAAATCTTCTGTAATTTTCAAAGAAACAAATCTTTTTACTGCATTGCTATTGAATTAAAGATTTCAAATGATAAAACTTTAGTTATGTTTATGTGCCCCTTGCTTTTATTTTTGTTTTCCTTGTTTTTTTTTTAAATTGGTTCAATTTCTACTTTAATACACGTTTTTATAAACTTTGACAAAAGCTTAGAGATTTTGTTAGTTCTTAAATCTTAGAAAAACCTTATAAGCTAATGTATAGATAATCCTACAGACTTCCATCCTAGTGCATAAAACCTCTCTCTGTTTTGAAATGATGTTCGAATTTCTCTTTTATTTTGTTTCAAAATACTATTCCAATTTGATCCTATTACTGATTTTAACTAGGTGACATTAAATGTCTTAAACTAAATGACTTTTTTTTTTTAAATCGCACATCTGGGTAATGGCTTTATGGTATTTTAAAGATATCTCCAGTTTTTGGTATAAAATTTACGTGAACTTTGGTTTAAAAATAGTTAAAAACCCATTCGCTATATTTACTTTTTGAAAAAGGTCACCTATCAAGACCCTTAATTACTTGTTAGTTCCTATATATTAGTGAATTTTTTTTCTCTTAGATTGCATCTCTCTAAAAAAATCTCCAATGAACCAAAGTTCTATAAATAATCCAAAGTTCTATAATAATATAAAAGACCTAAATTTTAGAACCATTTTTATTATAAACATCGTCAAAAAAGTAATTGCTACAAATAGTCGTCAATGTTCAGAAATATTGTTTTTGAATATAAAATATACTTTATTTTTATTTATAATCATTATTGTTATTGAGACCTCTATGAAATTTTAGTTTTTTGCAAATTCAGCTTTATAAACTTTTGGAGAAAAAAAGTATCAGTGACATATGATGGCCAGCGAGTAATCTAGGGTCATGTTGGGTGATTTTTTGCAAAAGCTTGTTATTGCTGCAGTCATCAATTGAACACTAAATTTTATCCGATTCGGTACAAAACCTTACAATCTTTAAGACCGTCTTTTGAGCATGAAGTACTGGTTTATAATTTGCAAAACACTATTTTTCACTAACGAGAAAAGTATATTAAATTTTTAAATTTTTTTAAGAAATCGAAACAGTATTTTGAAACAAATTTCATTAAAAAAAACAACTTGTATGATTTAGTAAACCGGCATAAATGTTCATTACATTATCGAAAACGTCTAAATTTTATAAAAAAGTTCTATTTAACTATCAGCATAATTTATTTTTAATAATTCTTTAAGTTTTTAATAATTTTTTACCTTAAATTCAGAATGTTCTAGTTACCATTCCATTGTTCAGAATTTTTCATTCAACTGTTCTGAACATTTAGGAACAGAGTCTCTAGTATAGCGTAAAAAAAACTAGCATAATGTATTTATTAATGTATTTAATGTATTAAAACTAGCGTAATGTATTTCCCGTTCTGACAATATTCCTAGGATATTTTCAGAATGGAAAATACATACACCTTTCCTATGCTGGCGATCAGTCCTAGGCCGAAACACAAACATAAATGTTGCGTTTTGGAGAGTGTTAAGTTAAATTTGTTAATTTGGCAAATTTAATTTTTTTTTTTTGGCTCTCCGAAGTTAATTAAAGGTTCTTAATATGAAATAACTAATTTTAAATCGGAGCCGCAAAGTTTTGGGGAACTTATATTCAATTTAAAATATTATTGTTTGAGAGTGTTCTTTTATAACATTTTTAGAATTATTATTATTTTATGTTGCTGTAAATACTAGCATTTACATTAATTTACCTCTTATATCACCAAAATATATTTTTTAACTTCACAAAATGTTTCTTTTATTGATGTGACAAAGTCATTAGATATGAAATGTTTTTATATGTTTACCAATAATATTATTTTATTAAAAAAAATTATTATTATTTTATATTAAAAAAAATAAAACAAAAAAAAAACAGGGAGGAGAGGAATCTGACTTTTTTCGACAACTGTTGACAACTTTTTAAAATAAATTTAATTACTTTAAAAAGGAAAACTAGGCAGCATTTGCAATCCTGTGTTACATACATAAAGCTATTACTATTCCTACTTTTCGAAAACCTTGTTGGGCTTTAAAAAGACTCGATACATACAGAACTAAAGAAGCACACACGAGATGTCTACTTGTAGCACTTTTATTTTTTCAAAGTTGTTATTCTGAAGTGCAAACAAAAAAGATTTATATAAGTACATATTTTACATGATATTGTTTAAATGATTATACCAAGGGTTGGCTCACAAGCCTTATGTGGTTCTTAAGATGTCAAGATGCGGCTCCTTAGCTCCATGCAAAAATATTAATACAATATTAAAATAAAGATGTTGGTAGCTTTTTAAAAACTTTGCAAATTGCAGCTTTTGGCTTTTCCGTTTCGAAGATTGCCTACACTTGATTTATACAATAGCATCTATGTATATATATATATATATATATATATATATATATATATATATATATATATATATATATATATATATATATATATATATATATTTAATATTGATATACATGGTATTTTGAGTTATTTTTATCAGAACATGTTGAAATTTTATTAGGATATTTTAAAGATTGAGTTGAGCATAGCATTGGAAATGACATAAAAAATATTATTTTCTCTGCTACCTTAGCAACAGTTGTCATTGAAAAAACTTTCGTTCAAATCAATGTGTTTTAAGAGGTTTTCATTCTCGTTCAAAAAGATTTTTTAATTTATAATTATTTATTGAGATAGCATTCTTTTTAATGTTTTGATTTCTATGGCAACAGTACAAAAATAGCCTAAAAATTTTTATGCAAATTGTTTCTTCTTAAGTTGCCTGATACATGATTTAAATTTCTTTGAATGGATTTAATTGTTTAGCATTATTCTAGAGTTTTTTTAAGTTTTTGGTTAACACCCACCTTAAAGCGTTTTGATTTTGATTAAATTACAGTTCACAAAAGACAAGCTTTAACCTATCGTAATGATTGATTTTTTAAATGAAGAGTTCAGATAACCGTATATAAAAAAATCCCCTGTTGTTTATTTTGAATAAAATTTTTCGCAAGATCATGTTTATATTTCGTAAATTTACTTTCGGGTTGCTAATATGGAAAATCCAAAAAGATGTAAAAATTACTACAACTAAAAGAATCGTCTTTAGATTGTTTTTAAATTGTCAACAACTTTGTATTTTAACTTGAAAATACTTACAAGTATTATAAATCCTAACGCAAAATATTAAAAGTTAAAAAACCTAGAATTTATATATCGAGTTAAAACGCATGCTGATTAATGTAAATAAAAAAATTTGAAACGCCTCGACTTGATATAAAACGCTCACGACTTGATATAAAACGCTCACGACTTGATATAAAAAGTTAAAACGACATTTAAATAACAAAAGTTAAAGCATCTAAAATCTAATCCAAGTTATAATTTACAAAAAAAAAAAAAAAAAAAAAAAAAAAAATAATAATTTGTGATTTTATCCCCTTCGTACACGGGCGTACATAGAATGAATTAAAAAAAATTTTTTTTTGTGGATAAAACAAATGTACTAGACCTCCTTATGGGGTATGTAAAATTTTATTAAAATATAAAATAGGACTGGTGTGCACAAATGTACACATATGTTTCAATTATTGTTTTGCTTAAGTTTTAGAGGGAAAAATGAATAAAATGAATTGTGTACGTTTGTACACAAGGTGCACGAAGAGGTTATTTAATTAATAGTTAATTTATTAAATAAAATTATAAACGAAACAATGTATAACGATGTCACTTATTTTTACTTAGCAAAATTGTTTACATTAATGAGAAGTAAATGTAAAGTAGGAATTATTATTATTTTAATTAATGACAAGCAGATGTAAAATGGGCATTATTATTATTATTATTTTTTAGCAACGCCATCTACTTTACAAATTTTTAGGTGTAGGAGGTTTTTTTAAAAAGAAAACTCGAGAAACTGTATGACTTAATGTAATAACATCTAAATTTACAAAAATCTTATTTTCCATGAATTTTAAAAATCTTATTTTTCATCAATTTTTTTAAAACGATCTCTTGCTTTATTCCATCGTTCAGTTTTTTTATCTGAGCCAACCATGTCTATACTGGTCTTTACTCCAGCTCCAATGCCTTTATTTTTTTCTTGAAGACTTACAAGAATTGGTTGAACAATTCCTTTACCATTTTTACCTAGTCCGTCGCCAGATTTCCAACCCATTTTAGCCAACAATTTATGGCCGACATTCTCTTCGGAAATATGCTCGTGAACAGAGGATGATTTTATTGGTATATTCGTATTTTCGTATGCCTCAATGCCGTGCTCTTTACGACGTTTTTCAGCCCGATCCGTAGAATTTATCAACTCTTTTGGAAGGTAACCGGGAGTAATACCATACTTTTTGCGCAACAGTTTGTTTTGCATTTTCCTTTGCAAGTCGAGTTCCTCTTTACTTACAAAATTGTTCGTTTTGCTTTGTGCGACTAAAGCTTGGATATTTCCTGGCTCACATTCTGAACAAGTATCATAACCGGGATGAACATGAAAGCATAGTGTTGTTTCTCCAATTTTAATATAGTCTTTATGAGTTAATTCTACGGGATCGGAAGCACATTTTGATTGCGCAATTCTTTCATTATTTAAAAATATCCCTATATCAGTGCATAGATCTTGTATATAAAATAGTTTTTCCACGTCATGGTATATGATCTTAGCGTGGAATGGATTTACATTATCTTCTTCTATGCATACGTTATTATCTTTGTCATTACCTATACAGCCACCTTGCCGAGTTATAACAAATAATGAACCTACATCAAGACAACTAGATCGAACAACAATTATACGAATACAAGAATCAACCTTATTTTCAAAATCATAGTCTTCGTCGGATATTATTTCTCCATCTTCTTCTTCCGCTTCTTTTTCACTTTCATCTTCAATCTTTTTTTCAACAATTTCTGCTTTTACGATTGCTTGCGAGTGATAAATAAAACTATTTTTCTCAGTGTCAAAGTAATAATATGTTCCACTTTCATGATTATAATAAAGTTTCGTAGCTGAATCGTAATACATTTTTGAATTCCAGTCATAATAGAGACCAGACACATCGTCATATACATATCCTGAATTAGACAGGACTGATTCAGCGGCGTTTCGAAGCGTCTCTTCTAAATTATTTTTATTTGATTCAGGTTCTTCAGGAGCATTTAGGTGTGATTCGCAATCTTGAGTAAGAGAATTAAACAAATCGGTAGATTTTTGCGTATCTTCTTTAGGGTCGATGGAATCTTTAACAACAGGTTCTTTTTGTTCGATTTTCAACCTCCGTCTTTCAGCAAGTTTTTTTGAAAATGCTGAATCAGCATACATCACAGCTTGCGATTCTCTTAAACAAGTTCTTTTATTTTTTTTGCGCTTTTTGAGCTCACTTTCTGATTTTGATTGAACACCATAATACGCCATTTTTTGAAATTCATTATACATTGCCTGCTGCCACTGCTGTGCATAGTGAACTTCAAGAGTGAGTTGTGAAACATTAGATTTTAGTTCAAGTATTTCAGTCTGACTTTTTTCATTTTTTTTAATCTGCTGATCAAGACTCTTTGCTAATAAGCTTACTGCTTGCTGCAAAACGTAAACGACACTTTGCAAATCTGACGACGTTCGCGATGAAGAAGTAAATGATAAGTCATCTGCTGATTAAAAAAGGTTATTAGTAAAAGTTATTATAAATAAATATTTTTAATTTTCAGTATTTCTATGTATAAAAGTTTTTAAAATAATCAAAAATCTTGATTGTGTTCTAAAAATTTGACACAACAAAACTAACGACTGTATTCTTAAAATTAATACAATAATAAAAAAAAAGTTTAAGAGAAAACCGAAAAAAAAAAAAAAAAAAAAATCAAAAGTTAATCGTAATATAAAAAAAGGAAACATCTGAAACAAATAATCAACAAAAATTCTTCACCCGTCAATTTTTTAAACGCAGAAGCAACAGACTCTAAAATCGACGGTTCTTCTTCTGAAGGATCAGCATTTGATGGGTCAATTAAATCACGCGACTTGGAAAAAAAAACAGGATCGTATTCGGTTGATGAGCTTTGTTTGCCGCCTTCTGAAGAGGACTTCCTTTACGAAAAAAATAAATAAGTTGATCACAAGGTTGACATGAAAAGCTCCATCGTACGCGAAATGCTGCAACTCTCACCTCGTATAAAATAAATTACAAATAATATATTTCGCATGAAATTTAAAGCACTGCATAAAGTGGTTTAAATCACACAAACTTTGTACACGAAACTCTCCGATTTTAAATATAAGCATTTCCAAATAAATTTTAAAGAAAGAAAATCTCAAAAATAAAAATCAAGAAAGTAAGTCACCTTGAATACTCTCTTTTATGCCCTCGCTGTTTTTTTAAAGTAAATTTGATTTTGTCTTTGTTTTCATTTAAGAGAATATCATCTTTCGAGTCTCTTTTTTTTGTACCATCACAATCGCCGTTTAGTGTTGACATTTTAGTGCTGGATAAACAATCATTTCTTATCGTGTAACGTGTTTCGTTTCACGTTTATAACAAAAACTCAACATATTAAAACTGAAAAACGTGGAAACATTTTTTTAATAGATACATGATGATTTATTCGTTATTATATAACATTATATAGTTATATTATATAAAATATAGGGTATAAAGAGATTTATATAATATAAAATTATTATTAAAAAAAATATATATATAAAAATTTATAATTTTTTTTTTTTAGTATACAACATAAAAGATAATCATTAACCATTTTTATTTTTTGTGATATAATAAACATAACTTTTATTTATTTGTAGAACAACAATTTATATAAATAATATTAAAGTTTTTAAAAAATATTTACAATCTCGTTGTGAAGCAACTAAATTATTTTTCCCTTAATTATTCTATTATTTTAAATTTAAAATTAACAAGTTTACAAAAGTTTAATTAAATTTATAATAAAACGTCATATAAAATACAAAAATAAAATTCTCTAATTGTACATTAACCGTTTCTCGGTTGGAAACTGATATGATTAAACTATTTGTATTTCTTGGTACCAGCGTGATTCAAGTGTTTGTGAGAGACTTCACAACATTCAGACAGTAATACTTTTTTATGCATAGTTATCAAAAACTTTTCAACTGTTTTCATAAAAAGTTGCTACTATGATGTTAACATTACATTTTCTTCAAAGTTATTCGTTTTTTGTCTGGCAGTTTATTTCAATCTCCTCCAACAGCTTTTTTCCACGTCCTCCAGCCTTTAAACAGTAAAACTTCCCAGACGCATAGTTTTTCAACTTTATTTGCAACCTTGCATAGTCCAAATATATATTCTCAAAAAATGTAGCTGACATGATGTTAAGTATTCATTAAAACTAATTATAGGGAACAAAAACAACAGAACTGGTCTTTAAAACTAATTATAGGTATCAAAACCAACAAAGTTGGTCTTTAAAAATAATTATGGATATGAAAAACAACATGGTATACTAAATACAACAGAGAGGTGTGTACATTATATAGAAGTTTTAATAAGTAGTTTTATTTTTTCGAAACAAAAACTAGTTTTACATTTAATTAAATGAAATTTTGTTAAAACTTAAGATTTTTATAAGTTTTTTTCTTAGTCAATGAGCCAGAATTTTAAAAATCATAAAAATATCAATTGTAAACATATTGAAGTGACATCATAACATTTTCACCCATATATGATAATCGCATAAATTATTATATATTGCAATTGTCCTAATTTGTTAATATATATATATATATATATATATATATATATATATATATATATATATATATATATATATATATATATAATTTATAAATAATATATATATATATATATATCTACTATAGCATCTTTATATGCACAATTGCTCACTTTTTTTGCTAGCCTAAATTAAGTGAGCATTTTTAGAAAACAATGAGGGAAAACGAAGAATAATGAATGAAAATGTTGCTGACCCATACCAAACCCTCAGTCGATGTAGCAGCACTCCACGGCGAGTCAGGCTATTTGTCAGTCGATGTATGTACTGAAGCCCCCCGGCAGCAGGCTATTTGACTTTAGGTGAGTATGACATCATCATGCTCACCTAACTCAGCAGTATAAGATATATAAATATATATATATATATATATTTATATATATATATATATATATATATAAATATATAGATTCTTTTGTCAATATAATAAAAATCATCAGTCAATATAAAAAACAATAAGTTTAATTGGCAATTACATGATGGTAGAGAATGAAGGTAGAGACTTTATATATTTATATATATATAAATATATATATTTATATATATATATATATATATATATATATATATATATATATACATATATATATATATATATATATATATATATATATATATATATATATATATATATATATATATATTATTTATAAATAATATATATATATATATATATTATTTATAAATAATATATATATATATATATATATATATATATATATATATATATATATATATATATATATATATATATATATATATATATATATATATTTATATATATAGATATATAAAGTCTCTACCATCATTCTCTACCATCATGTAATTGCCAATTAAACTTGTTTATTAGATTGACTGTTGATTTTTATTATATTGATAAAAGAATTTTTTAAATATGTATATATATATATATATATATATATATATATATATATATATATATATATATATATATATATATATATATATATATATATATATATATATACATATATTTAAAAAATTCTTTTATCAATATAATAAAAATCAACAGTCAATATAAAAAACAAGTTTAATTGGCAATTACATGATGGTAGAGAATAATGGTAGAGACTTTAACTTTCATTACACTCATGAATGATGGTAGAAACTTTAACTTTAATTAAAAGTATCACATAAAACCATTTTTAATAATCTCATCATTTTAAACAGTTGTTAAAAAACTTTACAAAACATTAGAAACAATTTGAAGTAATAGATAACAGGTTTTTTATTAAAAAAAAACAATTATGTCAAAAAAACAGTTATGAGAAGATACAGTTAACCTCATCATCCTCAGAAAGAAGTTCAAATTCAAAACAAGCTTCAAGAAACAGTAATGCACGGTCAATACGTCCAACACTGAACATCAACTCTAAGGCACGCACAAACTTTCCAACTGATATTAATACTAATATTGCTTTGTTCTAAAAATAAGTTTTATAAAAGTGAGAAAATATAAAAACAACTCCACATGAAAAACTGTTTCACTTTTTATTTCGAATGTCCTTAGGTTTTAAAAATAATGTACTTATGTTGTTTGGTTTAATTATTATATACATTTTTATATAATTGCTTACTCGTATATATTTATAATATTTTTTTTCTCTCATAAAATATCTTTTAAATATAACTGAATTTTTTTCTCTCATAAAATATCTTTTAAATATAACTGAATTTTTTTCTCTCATAAAATATTTTTTAAATATAACAACTTTTTAAACTTGTTTGATTTGAACCTTATAAGTTTAAATCTTATAAGTTTATTCAACAAAAATAAAAATTTAGATTACTTTATAATTACTAAACAATTTAATAGCCATGGTTTATTATTATAATAAAATTTTTATTTTAAATTATTAAATTTTTATTTAATTATTAAATATTTTAATAATTGGGAGGTACAAAAATTATTATATTTTTTAGTGAAATGATAAATTATAATAAACTCATTAAGGCTCTCAATTTGGCTAAATAAAGGGCTATCACCTGTCAATTTGGCTAAATTAAGGGCTATCACCTGTCAATTTGGCTAAATTAAGGGCTATCACCTGTCAATTTGGCTAAATTAAGGGCTATCATCTGTCAATTTGGCTAAATTAAGGGCTATCACCTGTCAATTTGGCTAAATTAAGGGCTATCACCAACATCACAACAACTAAAATCTCAATCACTAAAACCATTTGTGCAAAAAAATACTCACTGTTAAAAAATAGCCACTGTTCTTATATTTAATTAGATTTCATGAAAATTTCATTTAAAACTTATTTTAATTATTAAATTATTAAATTTTATTTTAAATTATTAAATTTTTATTTTAAATTATTATTATTATAAAAGCTAATTGTTAAATATTTAGATTACTTTAGATTAGACACTTTATAAATAATTATTCATTCTAACAAAAATTAAAATTATTTATACACTATTTAAATTTAAATCTTATAAGTTTATTCGAACAGATTATTTTGATTAACAGATTGTTTATGCTAACAAACTGTAACACCTTAGAAAGCAAATTATGGCTGCAGGTTCAGCAAAATGGTGTTTTCTATTTAAAACTATTTTAATATATAATTTAAATGTAAAACAAAAATCTTACTTTACAATTTACATGGGGTAGCACCAGATTATCACACCATCTTACAATAACATCTGTACAGTCATGATGATTTAGTCGAACCTAAAAAAATGCATCCGTTTTGTTCAATTAAAAAAAAAAATCTGAAAACAAAAGAAGCAAGTGTTTCTTTAGGTTTCAGAATTTTGATAAATAAAAGAAGTAAATAAATGGCATAACTACTATTAAAGAGGTTAAAACAAATAAAAAAAAAATAAAGATTTCAGAACCATTAGGTTATAGAAAACATAGGCTTTAGATTTATCAGATAATTTATTTCAACTTAAAAGTTGGTTGACTAACTTTTGTGATCAACTAAAATTAGTTGAATAATTTTTTATTTTGACTAAAGTCAACTAACTTTTTAGTTTAAGTAAAAAGTTAACTTATTTTTTAGCTCCTGACTTATTACTTTTAGTTGAATAGCAAATAAATATTGTAAGTATAAATTATGGAAAAAGCAAATAGAAGAATTAAAAGATATAAAAATAGTTTGTAAATCCATTTATTAAAAAGTTGGTTTAAAGACATAAATGATAAAATGTTCTTTAAACTTTTTGTGTAGGGGCAAAATTTGTACTTGCTACCTTGTTGTTTCTCTTTTTTATCTAGGAACAACTGTATTTTAGACCAGAAATCGCTGAACTTATGTCTGATACAAAACTTGTTTTTAAAAAAACAGTTTTTTTTCAAAAACGTTGTTTTTAGATGATTCTTACATATTTTAGTAGTTTGATTCTCACATCTCATATTTTGGGAGTTTCTCAAGAAGATGATTCTCACATCTCATATTTTAGGAGTTTCTCAAGAAGATAATTCTCACATCTCATATTTTAGGAGTTTCTCAAGAAGATGATTCTCACATCTCATATTTTGGGAGTTTCTCAAGAAGATGAATCTCACATCTCATATTTTAGGAGTTTCTCAAGAAGATAATTCTCACATATCATATTTTAGGAATTTGTCAAGATTTTCAAAACGTTTTATTATAACACATATTCTTAAAATTAAACAACTGCTGCTTTTTAAAAAATTGTTTTGCAGCAAGTATTTATTAAAATAGTTGCAATATTACCTTGCATAGGAGCTCTCGTAAAATCATTCTCCTCCAGCATAGGAGGTCTCCTAAAATCATTCTCTTTAAAACATTTACTTTCAGATTCTTACAATTACTAAAAATTGGAAATGATCTATCAACTCTAAATATCATACAATAATTATGGGTGTCAGAATATAAAAAAAAAAAACCCAGCAGTAATAATAGAAACTCTGAGGAGAAGTTTATTACTTAACCAAATTAATTTTAATGTACTTCATTCTCCCCTCAGGTATTCATTGTTCATTTGTGGTCACACATGAACAATGAACGCCTGAGGGGAAACATATATACAACTAAACATATATACATTTGACAAACAAATTTACATTGACCATTTGGCAAATTTATATGCCATATAAGTTTTTAAATAACTATTATCCAATCATTATGGGTGACAAAACGTAGAGACAAAAACATTTGTTGCAGTTTGAGAAGTAAAAGGAGGATGAAAATATTTAAAAAAGAAAGAAAGCTTAAGTTTAAACTTGAAAAAAACAATAACAAAAAAATGTTAGAAAAAAGAAATGAGAAACCATTTAGCACTATGTTAACTTGTTTTGTTAGCAACAAAGTTCTATATTTCTATGAACAATTTAGCTGTGCAATGAATAGGGTTTACCTTTGTATTAGATTTATTTGAGAATGATTGTATTAGATATTGTAATATATACTTTTTATGTACAACTAAATCTAGGAAACATGAAGTATTAACACTATAAAACCAAGAAAAATGATTCAATTAAGTGCCCCGAATAAATGCTTGACTTGAGCAAAAAAAATTGTTCCTGCTAAGAAAACAGTCAAGATGACAAAAGCTAACCAGTGTACAGGAATTTAACTAAAAATTTCTTAGTTCTATTTAAAAAAGCTCTACTGGCTTTTAAAAAGCATTGAAACATTAAAAATCAAATTTACAATTTTTTCTTTTTTATCATTTACTATTTTAAAAGTTTAACTGATTTGTACTTAATTGCAGATTTTTTTAACTATAAGCTCGATAAGAGCTGATCTCTTCCAATTTAAAACAACTTACCTAAGTTAAATATTTGGTAGAAATAATATAATACCTTTGCTAACCAAGCAGCTAGCTCCCATTCACCATATGTTTGCAAATATCTGCAGGCATCTGTTCCCTTGTCAACCAAGCACAATAACTCTGCACCTTCTATTAAAAAAATTTTTTTTTAGAAAAAAAAAAAAGAGTTTTTAATGTTACAAAAAGTTTACAAGAAATTTACCTTTGAGCTTTCCACTAGCTATGAGATTTGTAGCAACTAACTTAATTGTACTTTGCGACACACCAGACAGACTGACAGTTGCAATTAGACATGCTCTATTTATAAAATATATACAGACATTTACATTATATAGAAAAAGCTTATTTATAAATTTCAATATTAATAAATTAAAAATGGTTTCACATAAGAAATTATTATGCTTAACCTCAAGAACTTTAGAGTGTTTGAATCACAACTAGTTACCATAGTTACCTTTATTTATTTCAATAACAAAATAGTGTGTTTTAATGACTTATGCAATTATATCTTAAGGTGCCTCAAACACATTTTTTTATATACTAAATTTATCTTTCCAAGACTGTGAAGACCATTACAAGTGAGGAGACTACAAGTTTTTTTTTGTTACACATTTTTTTTTAAACTGCTGTTACCACCCACTTTTAGCCCTTTCAGTCCAAAACAATAATCTTCAATAAACTTTGATGAACCTGACTGACTGTGTAAAGAAAAAAATAAAGTGCTGTAGTACTTGCGATGTAGTGGTAATTGACCTCAGAATTTCTTGTTAATGAAACAAGCACACTATACTACTACATTAATGTTGTTAATGTGAATCAATAACTTACCTAAGTTATTAAAATGCATGAAAAATACTTACAACAGTTTCTTACCTAAGTGCATCTGTGTAATAATTAGCATCACTAGGCTCATTTTCCAATAACACATGAACAGCTCTATCACTCTGCAATAATAAAAAATAATTACATATGAACAGCACTATCACTCTGCAATAATAAAAATTAATAACACATGAACAGCTCTATCACTCTGCAATAATAAAAATTAACTAATATGTTTATCAAAATGAGCTAATAAAAAAAACTGACCGATTAGTAAAAAATAAAAAGCAACAACAACAAAAATGTATACACAAAAGAATTATGCATATTCAACCAGAAAATTAATAAATTTAATGTAAACTTTTTTTGGAATTTATATATAACTATGATTGGTTGAAATTTGGAAAATTTTAAATTGAGTTTTCTCAAAAACAACTAAATACTAATAATTTGTCTTTAATTGATGCATACATTAGTTTTTGTGTGTGGGTAGAGTTAGTAGATTAGTTTTTAAAATGTTGAGTAAAAAGTCAAAAAATTGAAAAAATATTTCGGAATTTCATATAGAAAATCCATCGTGCTAAAATTCAATAATTTCAAAAGAATGTAAAGTTCCAAAATCAATTAGTGGAACTGTGATAAAACATTTTAAAGAGAACAACTATAAAAAACAAGGAAGTGGTTAAAAATCAAGATTTAATGACAAAATATAGGCAAAATTAAAAGTTGACTTGATCTATAGAAATCCAATTCAGTCACAACAAGATTAAGCTACAAAGTGTAAATCATTAAAAGAGAATTGAACAAAAAATTGGAAAGATTATCACAAGAAAAAAAAAATACAACAAAAAATTTACTTGACGAAGGCAATTTGATGAGCTAAAGAAATTTGACAAGCTAAAAGTTTGCTTAAATTAACGATGAAAAAAAATTGATGCATTTTAAAGGCAAATAATAGATGCATTTTGAAGGCAAACCATATAAAGATCACCTTGATGCCTCCAGGTAATTAATAATAATATCAGTCAAAATGATATAAAGCATCTGGCGGATATAAGTATATTTAAGTCAAAATAATCATTTCCTTCTATGGGTGCGAATTGCAAGTGAATATTTCCTTGTTGTGGCTTTAAAAGATCTCCTTTTATAAAAAAGTGACTGAATGCTTGGAAAAAAAACCTTTCTCTCTAATTAAAAAACATAAATGACCAACTTTATTTTAACCAGATCTAGCATCAATTCATTATTCCAAAAAAGTAATGGATTGGTATAAAAAAAATAGAGTTAGTGATCTATCAAACCGTCCAGATCAGCAAGTCATTGAATCTGGGCAATAGTGAAAAGAATACTGAGTAAACAAGGCAAATGTGTATATAATGTTAAATAAATCCTGAGATTTAGTATAAATATAAAAAAAAAAAAAAAGTCAAATTGTGAATTTGATTTGTAGTACTTTACAAAAATTTTAATTACTTGAACGTTGTAAAATTTCCTAAAATTCATAGATATAAGAAAATAAAAAAAATTTTTTTTTTTTCTAATAATAATCTACAACAACCAAAGTAACAAAACTCTAGACTATCAAAACTTTTACATTTTGCAAGTAAGTGAGGTAAAACGGAACAGTTAAAAAGCAGCAGTTATTGGATATTGTAAAGCTTTAAAAATGATAAAAGGCATTTTATCATTTGAACATGTTCAGACAATAAACTCTTAAAAAAATAAAATTCCCATACAAATGCTCAAACACCCATACACGACAAAAAACACCCATACACGACAAAAAACACACATACACGACAAAAAACACCCATGCACGACAAAAAAAGAAATAACAACTAAAATAAAAAACTTTTTTTGTTTTATTATAAAATACTCTAAAACAAACTAACTCGAGAAATTGTTCTAAAAAAATTAAGTAGAACAAAATAAGTATATATTATTAAATTGGTAACTACTACTAGATTTAAAATTAAACAAAAAATATTATGAATCATATAAATCACAGAAAAAATATTCTGAAGCTGTTTGGAAACATTTTTGATGAGCTGGCTTATTAGCAATATGCCAATGTAGAACAAATTTAAATATGCCATATGTATCAGTAGTTTTTTGAACTCTAAGCTCATTTTTACTGCACAGCTGCATTTCATTATATATTGGATGATAGATCTTACTTATATAGTTTTTTACCATCGTTGTTTACATGGTAACACTATTAATAAACGAAGTTGAGTTATAAAAACAACAATTTCTTTGAATTTGTTACAAACATTTTTTTATTAAGGAAAATATTATTTTAGATTAAAAATAAAATCATCAAACTGTAAACAAAATGGTAGTAATATAATCAATTAAATAAATAACTTGTTATCCCAATATGCCCCACAAAGTCATTTTACTGCAATTAATACTATTCAAAAAGTTCAATAGAGGTCTACACAGTTCCGATAATTTCATGTGCGCGCATATTTAATATTGTCATGGTACTTTATGGGCAGAATCACATGAAAACAAGTAAATACCCATATAAATATAATATAAAGGGATATAAAGGATAGTAATCTTGAAAGAAACAGTTGTTTATATGAGATTTTTTTATTTTTTTTTTTGAAAAAAGACATTGATTTAGCTTAATATAAGTTTATTTCCATTTTAAGATTAAAATCTATACTGTTTATATGTTTTTGTCATAATATTTGTAATCAAGGAAAAAACAAATTTGTACGTTGATTGTAAAAGTATTTAATATTGATTAAAAAAATGAGCTTTCGGGAAAGAAAATAATAATGTATACACACACACATATATATGTATATATATTGTATTTATATATATGTATATATATTGTATTTGTATATATATATATATTATATATATACACACAAACACAACTATCAATGCACATTTCACACTCGAAATGTGAAAAATGCAAAAGATAAAGAGTATTCTTTAAGCGCTTTTATTTCTTTCATATATATCCTATAAAACAAACATATAAAACATATAAATAATATAAATTTAGCCTTTAAATAATTAAAATAAAGTTAAATAATTCAAAATCAATATTTTTTTATTATGAATAAAAGTTAAGAAATCTCATGTAAACAACTGTTTCTCTCAAGAATGCTTCCTTAATATATTTGTGTATTTACTTTCTTTCATGCAATTCTGCGCACAAGGAACAATGACGTACTGTTAAATGTTTGCGCGCACTAAATTATCGGAACTGTGAAGAGGTCTATTCCAGATATTTTTTAAAACAAGATTCTAAAAAAAAAGGATAAAAATCTGAAAAAATCTGAAAAATATAAACTTTTTATAAATAAAGCAAATTAGTAATAGTTCAAGATAAATTATTTATAGTTATATCGCCTAAGAAAATACGCAAATTTTGTTTTTTTGCAAACTTATTTATGCATTTTGGTACTTTTAATATATTTTGGTATTTCTAAAATAAATTTTTTTTTCACAATAATGAAGCACAATAATTCAAAATTTTTTATCAAAAAAAAAAAAAAATTGAAAAAATTTTTTTTGAATAAAATATTAGATGTCCAGAGACAATGGAACAAAAGTAAGTGCTTAAGAAAAACAGAGATGTAAAGGGTGAAAAAAAAAGTGAATTTTTATTATACTTTTGTATTTAAGTTGACAGCATACTTTTTGAAATACCATTAATGCAATGTTTATAAATAACATTAATGCCATGTTCCAATTACAATTTCTTTTTCTCTACATATTTCTTTTTAATCTATTATTACTTCTTATTTGTTCTTTAGTGAGACTAAAGAACAAATAAGATTCATGTATATATACTAACATACTTAATATATGTATAATACAAATTGAGATTATAATACAAATTATATTACAATAATACGAATTGAAATTTAACAATTACCTTTCCCGCCAAAATTAGCTTTTCTGCACACAATCTTGTGTGTTCATAAGTTGCACGATGGCTATCAAAGAGAGCTATTCTATACAACTGAAGTTTCTAAAAAAAATTAAAAATAATTTTATTAAAAGGGGTATACCACTATCACTGCTTCCCAAAAATTTATGTTTTCTTAGCATAAAACTATTAGCATAGAAAAAATCACTAAGTTTTACAGATACATCTTTTGTACTTTTAAATGTTTTGTACAAATACCTTAAATTAAAGTATAACTTTTATTGATTAATAACTGAAATAATTGCTTATTTTTTAAAATCATTAATAACAAGTTAAAAATTTTGTTATTTAAAAAGTTAAAAATTTTTTTTTTGTTAAAGTTTTCAAGGTTCTACTCATAATGCCATTTTCTTATTTAAATATGATATTATGGAAGAGCTTTAGCATTTTTTTACAAGCAGAGTTACTTTCTAATGTTAACCTAATATTATTGCAGACTAATGGTAGAACACTTGGAGATTCAAATCCATCCTATGCCTCTAGAAGTACTGCACTCAATCTATTTCTTTGTAAAGTAGTATACCAAGGATCATGCTGCAAAGATTAATGTTAAAAAAAAGTTGAATAAAGTTTAACAAAAAAGTAAATGAGTAGCTTCCTCAACTGTAATGAACTAATTTGAACCATTGGAAAAGTGAATTAAAAAAAAATGCTTTGCAGAACAGGCCTAAACACTTTTATTGCAATACTACCGCTTGTATAATAGTAGTACAACAGCAATTATAACTACAGTAATATAAAAATAATAAGCAATATTAATAATCAAACAACAATAACTGAATATATATGCAAAGACATGTAAGCTACAAACAGTTATATACTGACAAAATATAACAACCTATCGTGAAATATGTTTTCATGGTAGATTGAATTTTGTACTATTGGAAAACAAGATCAAATTTTTTTACAAATATAATAAATATATTATTTATAATCCTAACAAAAACAATAAAAGTATTATGTGTGTAAATATAAAACATAGTAAACAATAAATGAAAATATATAAATAGAAAAGTCATACAGTCCACACCAGCCACATAGCACACACCAGTCACTTATCATTTGACTGCAACAGATGATTTGCTAACACTAGGTAAGTGATACATATATTAAGGTAGACCATAGGGTCATTATATGTGAACTAAT